TGCATCAGAATTTGAGAAGCTGGAACATGAGCTGGTGCCTATATGGGATGCTGGCGCTTGCAGGCAGAGGATTAGTTTGCTATGACATTGCACTGATCTCCATTTCTTTCCTCTCTCCCTCCCTTCCCCCAACTCCCTTCCTCCCTTCCTCTCTTTATCTCCTGCTCCCTCTCTCTCTCTTTCCGTTCATTTTAGCTCCTACCTGTAAGGGAGGACATATGATCCTTTTCTTTGTGTGCCTAGCTCATTTCACTCAACATTAGATGCTCTCCATTTCCAACCAACTTGCTGCAAATGACAAAATTTCACTCTTTTAATAGCTTAATAATATTCTACTGTATATGTATGTGTGTGTACATACATACACATATATGTCATATTTTCTTTATCCATCGTCTGTTGATGGACACTTTAGTTGATTTTATATTGTAACTGTTTTAAACAGTGCTATGAAAACAATAGTGGAAAAGGTATCACTTTGATGCAATGAGTTTAAGTCTTGGATACATACCCAGTAGTCAGAATGCTGGATTATATAGAAGTTCGGAGTATAGTTTTTTTCCCTCTGATTTTTAACAAGATTTGCCTTTTTTTTTTCCTCAAGCTTGTTAATAATGTGCTTTGCTTTTCTTTTTGAATCTGGTTTCAAATGTACCACTAATTTTGGAAAATTCTGAAGCATTAGTCAAATATTCTTAATTTTTCCTTTCTCCTTATATTTCAATTATGCATATACAATTTTTAAGAATGTCTCATTGTTTTGGATATTTTATATTTTAATCTTTTTGCCTTGAAAATTTCTATTGAAATATTTTCCAGACAGCAGTTCTTTCCTTGGCACTGTGCAACTTATTCATATACCTATCAAAGGCATTCTTCAATCTGTTGTTATTTATGGCCTTTAATTTTATTCTTTATTAGAGCTTTTGTATCTCTGCTTATATTATCCATCTGCTCTGGCATGGCATCTATATTCTCTACTTAAATCCTTACTCTATTGATCAGCTATTTTAAATTCTTCACTTGAAAATTCCAAGTCTGTTTTATCTGAAAGTGTTTTTGATTCCTTCTTATGCTTCTCCAAATTGTCTTTTCACCTGCCTTCAAAAAAAGAGATTTGCTTATTTCTTTGAAAGGTGGATTATGGAAAGAGAGAGAAAGGGAGCTTCTATCAGCTGATTCATTCTCCAATTGGCCCCAGTCGTCAGAGCTGGTTCAGGCCAATACCAGAAGCCTGCAGCTTCGTCTGAGTCTCACATTTGGGTATAACAACCCACTCACTTGGGGCATACTGTTGGTGCACTGGTGGAAATCTGGGTTGAAAGGGGAGCAGTAGGTACTTAAACTGAACTCCGTGAATATGGAATGCCTGTGTCACAAAGGCTTAATCAGTTGTGCCATTCTTTTTCTTGCCTTTGAAAAAAATGTTTATTTATCTGGAAAACATACACTCAGAATGAGGGAGACAGATCTTCCATCTTCTGATTAACTTACCAAATGCTTGCAACAGGCACTTCTATGTCAGGCAGAAGCCAGGAACCAGTAACAAACTTAGTCTTCCGTTAGGATGGCAGGAATCCACGTACTTGGCCCGTCCTTTGATGCTTTCCCAGGTGCATTATCAGGAACTGTATTGGAAGCAGGGCATCTGGAACCTCAACCAAAATTCTGATAGGGGTTGCCAGTGTCACAGCAGCATCTTAACCCACAACACCATTGTACTGCCCCCGTTCTTGCCTTTTTGCATACCTACTCAGTTTGTGCTAATCTGGCCAGAAGTTAAGTTTATTATTGTTTTTGTACCTTGTGTTTATTGTTTATTGTAGCTGTTGGTAACAAGTTGCTAAGTTGCTTTGATTTTTCTCTCCCCTATTATTTCTGCATTTCACCCAAAATTCCTTTTTAACCAATTTGAACTTTGTAATTACTTTGTCTATAATCCCCCTGCCCTACTAAAGCCTTATTAATATGGTGGGAAGAAATTGTGGATGGAGAGTTTTCTGAAATATTAGGTTTAACTCTTGCTTCTTCAGTGGGTCTGTGTGCTCTAGTTGTGATCGTGAGAAGCAGTTCCCTTTTTCATTTCTCCTCTGCCCTCTTAGTTAACACAGAAGAACTAGAAGAGACTGGGGAGGTATTGATGCTATGCCAACTACAAGAGATCAGGTTCTGGTAATAGGTATTTTTAAAATAAAAATGCACTGATAATTATTTCAGAATGATCACTTTTTCTCCTCCTTTCCCAGAGATGTGAGGTGATGCTTCTTGGCTTTTCACTGTAACAAGTTGACAAGGATTTTAGAGATGAGGCCCACAGAATTGCGTGGGTTTTATAAGATTGTGGTAGCCCTAGAGAGTTGATAACTTTCAAGTTCCTTCACATCCAGTCTCTGACAATTCATCAGTATTACCACCGATATGTCTCAATCATTTCATCTCAGCTTTCTTCTATACTCACTGCCGCTACAAATTGTAAGGTGGTAGATTGCCCTTTGCCTTCAATTATCTGAGAAATTCCAAGAAAGATCTTGATTTGCTAGTTTATTTGTCCACCCTCCCCCCACCCTTGGAATAGGATGAGAAGATTAACTTTCAAGCTCTTTACAGGTTGCAGCTAAAACTGCCGACTTTGGCATTCGTTTTGGAATACTGACCTTTCATTCAGGGTCTTACTGACTTGACTTCTTAATTCTAAATTTGTCCATAAGGTCTGTTAACTCTATCTGTACTCAATCCTGTCATGTGGGGAAGAGTCTAGTTTTATTCCTTCTGATCTTTATTCACAGTGTTTCCTTTTAGCACTTACTAGCCTAGCTAGGATCTCTAATCAGGAGTTGGAGAGAAGGGATGCGAGCAGAGGACATCTCTGTCTTGTTTCTGTGCTCGAGAGAGAAGCATTAGCAATGTCACCATTACATTTACTATTACCTAATAATTTGTTGTAATTTCCTTTTACTGTATAAGGGAAATTATCTTATATTCTTTGTTTGCAACTACTGCTCATGACTATGTGTAGACATTTATAAATGAATTTTTCTGTGTCTATTTAACAATCACATTATTTTCATCACTTTTTCCTAATAACATGGTAGTTTAAACAGATCAATTTATAGATATTAAAACATCTTTTCACTGTGGGAATGAATGCTAGCAAATTGTGTACTTTCTCTTTTTTCTTGATACAGGTGCTTGAAATGCATGTATTCTGCTAACATTCCCAAAAAACCAGCCAGAATGTTGCTCTTGTACTTTAAGTTTTGCTCTTATTTTTGTTCATTCATTTCTAGTATGTTGCAAAGTTATAACTTTCTGCCATCCTATTTAAGTAGCACCATGCAATGAAAGCTTTGATAAGCAATTTTCTGCAATTTCTGAATTAAAAAAATATTTACCTCCATTAATTTCCTTAGCTGCATATCAACACATTCGATTTAAAAGATCTCTATCACTCAGTTAAAACTGCTTTCTGATGGGTTGCTCCTTTTTTTAAGTGTGGACTTCTACAGTCTTCAGTTTTGTGTGTTTGTGTCCCTGGAGTCAAAAGGCTGTGAGAATTTCTTCTGAGATGTTGAGAATTTGGATTTAACTCTTCCGTCTTTTTCCATGAACAGAGTAAGGATTCGGAGAATGTCATAAGAAGGAGGTTGGCATTATGTTTGCACCTGCTCAAATCTCCAGCTTTGCTGCTGCAGTCCAAGTCCCCTCAAAGCGCTGTTGATTTCTTTGCTGTACAACAGCAGAGTTCTACTGAAGGCAAAAGCTGGGTTGCTGTCTAGATCAGTAAATATTCCCAGGGGAAAAATGTTAACAGTTTTTCAATGTGAACTCACTAATCCCACCAGATATCTTTGTCCCTGAAACATATTTTAAGAAACTTGCTACTAGAAAAATCCCACTCTGTCTGAGGTTTTAATTTTGCTTTTGAGTCTTATACCATGTGCATTTTTTGCATTTCAGTAAAGATCTTGAGGAGGGGAAGGGGTTAAAAAACAAGGTATGTTTCAAGCTCCATGAAGTTCTTCATTTGTCATTCAAGAGCCAGCCATGCCAAATTTCAAAAACCAGTTCTGTTTCATCTGTGCTCTAATTCTCAGCTTCTAATCCATGCAAGATTGCGGGATAACTTCAAGTTATTTCTGCTAGTTGGCAACTCAACATGGAAAACTTGTGCTTCTGTGAAATTTTACCTCCTCTAATTCTCCCTGGTTTTGTAGCTGTTTGATGCCTTTAAATAAACCATTATGTATTTAATTCAATTTTGCTACTGGTTCTCAGTGGAATCAGTAAGCTGCAAACTACTCAATCCTCTTTGGAAGTGACACATTTGAAGGTATGCTTTCAACTGTGATCTTTATTTAATTTTCTGCACACACACACACACCACTGATAGATTCTCCAAATTTCTTCTTTCTCATGAGAGAATAATTTTATATCTCACTTTAACATTCTATTACAGCCCAAACCTAATCACATGCCCTTTTTTCTGACACCAGGTGTTGTCAAACAAAAATTAGTAATTTGCTTCTCAACCTATAGAGAAATTGAAATGCCCTGTCAATCTTAATACAGTGCAACAAAAGATTGAGAAAAATAAGTGTTCCTAATCTAATAGAGATCTCAGAACATGAGAGAAGATACTCTGTCATAATTGAATTATAAGACCATTCTCACCACCCCCTTCAAGGTGTAGATTAGTTAATGGCATTCTTACATCATGATCTAATAACTAAAATGCTGTTTGAAAAATGTAACAATGCTTATCATATGTTGTTTAAATTGTTTTTTCCATTTTTGCCCTCAATAAATATTAATAGCTTAGGTAAAACATGCCTGAAAGAGTTTCAGAAATAAGGAATTCAATGGTGAATAATATAGGTGGATTTACTTTCTATTGGAAAAGAGGCAAATAAAATGATAGTTTAATTCACACAAAGGAGTACTGTGATGTGGGTAAAACAACCTAGCATAAGCATTCATTCAATATTGGATTTTATTTTCAGATTCTCCACAAAGGATAAAGCATAAAAATAATGAGACAGCTGTTTTGGGAGAAAATGTGACTATTTTCTGCAATTTAACAACTCTAGCAGATGTTGTGCAAATTACCTGGCAGAAGATTCAAGATTCTTTGCCACAAAATATCGCCACTTACAGCAACAAAAACGGAGAGAGGATTCTTCCGCCTTACGTAGACAGGCTGCATTGCAAGAGCATTGAACCCAACTCCTCATTCATAACAATTCGTGAAGTGACGTTTGAAGATGAAGCCTGCTACAAATGTTTATTTAATGTTTTTCCATATGGCAGCCATGGAGGACAAATCTGTCTCAACATCTTAAGTATCATCAGTGTTTTTCTTTGGGGTGAAATTACTGGGGCAGAAATCTTAGGAATCTGACCTTTTAAGGTTGATAATGAACATAAAGCCAATTATCTTAAATAAATGATCACAGTGGAAGCCAGCAATGTTTATGTAACTTGTTCATTTTTACAACATGCTAAACATTGCCTTTAGATTTTCAAATCCATCATTCAACCTGTCTACGCTACACCGCACTGCCTTGCTTGCAGTAGGTAGCATTCACATAGAGCATCAGAATTTTCTCCCTTGAAAACTGAGAAAAGAGAGGCAAAGGCAGAGAGAAAGAAAAAGAGGAGGAGATTAAGCCTCTAAAAAAGGGAGTTCCCAGTCTTCAAATCAAAGTGTTTTAGGGATGGTAGCAGTGTCACTGAGTTCCTTTGTTACAGTTCTTTGAATTTTAAACATTGGAAGTTTATAGAATTGGTGAAAGTGAGTTATCAACTGCTTATCTTAAACTGGAATGCTTGTTGGCATGGAAAATGATATTGGGAGGTTTGTAAAATGCAGGCAGAGGTATCCAACAGGGATATTTTTTCAACATTTTGACTTCACATAAGTTTAGAGAAGTCCAGTCTTTAACATAAGAATGTGATGCAATGTGTTTTTCTTCGTAATTTCGGTTTCTCCTTTCCATGCCTCAGCTGTGTCTGAATTAAGAACTGAACTCCAACTCGAGCCTGATCCTGAAGGTTTTCTTCACCTGACTTACTCAGCTGTGGGAAAACCTGCTCCTCGAATGTCTCTTTTCCCATCACAAATCCTCATTCATCCACCAGAGGAGAGGCTTGTGCAGAACGCCAATGGCTTGGTCACTGTGACCAAAATGTGCCTCATCTCCTTGGAGACCGTCAAGTCCCTAGGACTCCAGCACCTGATTGTGCACATGGATCATCCTCTAAAGAAGGAAGAAATTATTATTCCTCTAGCAACAGAGCAAGATTGTAAGTACAAGTGACACATCAATAAAGGAAAGTGTATATCATCCTTTAAGAGTCACCAGCTCTTGAAAAATTTGTGCAGTTACGTATGTTTGAGTATGTAAATCATTGTAACAGAAAATTTCACATAATGAAGAAGGATGCTATCTTAATCCTGATCTCTGGGGCGACTATTTCCCTAAAGAAAAATTTAATTGATCTCCTCATTGTGCTTTGCACTGAATTTCTGTCATGAACACTGAGTATTGAATTCTTTTACTGCATAATCAAGTTTTCTCTCACCTCTTTCCTTCCAATACGAATTTTTTTTTCAGTCTTTAGCAGCTTGGAAAAGTCTATCTCTTGATCATCTGCCTTAGAAAGTCTCTCCTAGTTACCCGTTTCTTCTTGCTCTCCTTTCCCCAGCTCTGTCAACTGGATTTATTTTGTTGCAAAATCGTAACTATGATCCTGGTGTAGTAACCTAGCTACTCAAGTCCTTGCCTTGCACATGCCAGGATCCACTATGGGCGCCAGTTCTAATCCCGGCAGCCCTGCTTCCCATCCAACTCCCTGCTTGTGGCCAAGGAAAGCAGTCAAAGATGGCCCGAAGCCTTTGGAACCTGCATCCACATGAGAGACCCAAGAGGCTTTGGGTTCCGTTCCTGGCTTCAGATTGGTTCAGCTCTGGCTATTGCGGCCACTTGGGGGTGTGAGTCAATGGATAGAAGATCTTCCTCTCTGTCTCTCCTCCTCCATGTATATTTGATTTTCTAATAGAAATAAAAATATAAAAAGCTATAACCAGATATTATATGACTTCCTTATAGAACGATTCTAAGGTGGAATTCAGTAAATAGTATTTGAATAATTGTTTCTATAATCCACTTACCAATCTTGTAGTGTTTGTGTATCTTGTATCTATAGATTTGCTATAAGACTGACATTTTGGGTTTTTAAAATCAGTTCACTATCCATTATTTTAGCTGTTTAATGTACCTTTGTCTCTCTATTTTCTGATTCTTTTGGGTTTATTTTTATTCCATTTCCCCTAACTAATAATTTGTGGGAAAAATATCCATTACCTTTTTTTTTAGTGGTGGATTATAACATGGTCCCTTGACTTATTAAAGTCAAATACATTAATACTATCATTACTTCCCAGACAATACAATAAACGTACACCAGCTCCTGATCTTTTTGCTACTGTTTTTAAGTCTATTAATACTTCATGTATACTATTTAAATACAACATATTATTGTAGCAGTCAATTGCTATTGTTTATGGAAATAATCATTTATATTTAACTTCTATGTTACATTTTATTTCTTTATCTATGTTCATAGATTTATATAGAACTAATTTTCTTTTATCTACAGAATCGTCTTTTTTCACTCACTGCAATTTTACAGGTAATCAATTCTCCCAACCGCTGCTTTAGAGAACAATGTCTTTAATCATGAAGGCTATATTTCAAGCACCAGAAGGTTAAGGAAAACATCTATGAGTTTCCACTGAAAAGCTTCCTCTTCTGTTAAGGCCTTCCTTAACCTATTCATATTGTATTCTGTCAGAAACAAAATTAATTATGTAATAACCTCCATTTCCATTCTTTCAATAACACCAAGAGTTCTCTTGTAAGATTTAGCATTAACAACCATGGGATTTTTTGTCCATCCCACATAAAATGGCAAGCTACAGGAAAACAGCTGTGACAAATTTTAGTAGCAAGTACACGTTGATGAACAAGCTTGCATCTCTTGGGTGGGGAAATTAGTAGAACGAATTTACCTAAATGACAGACAAAGAAATTTAATATCAAATGATACTCTAGATAATGCCAATAATACTCTGTCTGTTAGTCACCCATATATTGTACAATGAGGTAGAGGTAAGCATTTGCTTTCTTTAAGATAGGCATTAAATAGGTAAACAGTTTTTTTGCAAATGAAAGATTAGAGTATTTCTGTGTACCTTTTTCAGTCCATGGGGAATATACATAAAAGCACAAGACAATGACTTTTTCTGAGATCTCACTTGGTGCCACGGCTTTCAGTAAACCTTGATGTATCCAATCCTCAGTTTTACATCTTAAAATCTTTCTTAGATTTCTCTGGTGAGGAAGGGGTGGGGACATGAAAAAAGTCCTCTTTAATATTATACTAGCTATGAACCTGTGTTTTGGTTTTATGAAATCAGAGAACCGATGGGAAGGAGAACATTTCCTGGTGCTTCAGTTGTCAGTCCAAAAAGATGAAGTTATCACCAAGTATCAGTGATGTTAACTCAGATCAGTTTCAGAGACACTGCATCTGTTGGAAGCCTCATTTCTCCATATGTCTACCTGCTGGAGTGCTGAACAGGCTTGCAGGTCTTCTGGGCATAAGCCAAGGTTTCCTAGAACGCTTCATCAATCTCTGAATCCAGCCATCTCTGGAGTAAAGGACAAAATGATGATGAGCACCAAGGAAAGTGATTATAAAAGAGTATCTTGAGGCCGACACAAAACATTCTTCCACTAGTACAATACGGTTTAAGTAGAATCCTGCATTCAATGCTGTAGAATTTTAATAACAGCGATTTCACTGGTGACAATGTATACTTCAATCCTGCTCTCACATGAGCTTGATAGTTCTACAATTTAAACTAATTTTTCTTCTGCTTTCAGAATTTCCAGAGCACTTCTTCATTAGTTTTGGCAGTTGGTTGTTGCTGATGAGAAGTCAAATGACAATCTGATAACTGTAAGAGTAGATATAATGCATTTCATCTCTGATAACGTAGTAACTTCTCTTCTCCCTAGTGATACATTTTTTTGTTTTGTTAGTTTTTTTTTAACCTTTGATTCAGCAGTGGGGACTGATCTTTTTGTATTTCTGATCAAAACCATTTGATTATTTACAATCTTAATTCAAGATTATCAGCTTAGAAATTAGACTGCTGAAGATCCACTGATCTTGAGTCCCTCTGTGGTTTCTATGACAGTGCTAGATCAAATCATTTTGGGGCTGAGCATTTCCCAGCCATGCAATATGGTGGACATTTAATGATTTAATTCTGTTTGGAGACTCAAATACCTTGATTCTGAATATTTTCTTCTTTCTTTAAGAATTTTCTTTCTGGGCCTGATGCGATGGCGCAGTGGTTAAGGTCCTCGCCTTGCATGCCCGGGATCCCATGTGGGCGCCGGTTCTAACCCAGGCAGCCCTGCTTCCCATCCAGCTCCCTGCCTGTGGCCCGGGAAAGCAGTCGAGGACAGCCCAAAGCTTTGGGACCCTGCACCCGCGTGGGAGACCTGGAAGAGGCTCCTGGCATCGGATTGGCTCAGCTCCAGCCGTTGCATCCGCCTGGGGAGTGAACCATCGGAGGGAAGATCTTCCTCTCTGTCTCTCCTCTCTGTATACCCACCTTTCCAATAAAAATAAAATAAATCTTTAAACAAAAAAATTTTCTTTCTGTTTATCTAGTTTGTTTTTATAATTTTTGATTGAGTATATACTGAAACACTTATATTTTATTTTCTTCTTTTTAATATTCATATCTTATTTTTGTTATATTAACTAGGGAATAGTCTAAAATTATCTTAAAGTTGTTTTACTTTGTTTTCCCTTCTTTTGACAGCCATGCTGTTAAAAATTGCTTTTGAATTTCAAAATTGAAACTTTGTTTTTATAGCCTTCTCCTTCTATTTTTGATTTTTCTTTAAATGCATTCATGTGTGAGGCAGAGAAGTAGAGAAAGAGATAGACACATTGAAAGAGGTTGAGCAGCAGAGAGACACTCAGAAACAGAGAGAACTCCCAACTATTGATTGACTCCTTGAGTGAAATGACTAGGGATGGAGCAGGTGATGCCAGGAAAGGGGAACCCATTCCAGGTCTCTCAGATGAGTGACAGCAAGTCAGTCACCTAAGCCATCATTGTGGCTCGTACTCAATTATCAGGGAGCTGGAGTCAAGCTGAAGGAAATATGGAACCCAGGCATTGCAATATAGAATGCAGGAGTCCTAAGTGCTACACCAAATATCTGCCCCTCTTTCTGTTTTAAGGAACTAATATATTCTCAAATACACCAAGGAAAAATAAATTAGGGGTATTATAATCATCATATTTCCTTTATTGTCTATTTTTATTTAGGCTCCATTTCCTCGTAAACTTTCTTCATTTCCTGCTAAGCTTATACTAGAGGTTTACAAGGCAGAGTATAAAAATCTTCCTTCTTGGACTCTGCCCTCTACTGCCCTAGCTATTCTCAGAATGTTTAATTCATTAACTTGTCTTCTACAGTTTTGGGGTAAGAAGTAAACACTGTTTGTTCAAGTTGTACCTTGCAATATTGATATGGAGGCCTTCAATCCGAACTGTAATTGTGCTGCTCGTTCCCCTCTCAAGTCTTCAGAGTTCTGAATCTCTCCACATCTGGTCAGTCTCTGCAGGTGTAACCAGTCTTGTGCATCACGGGGCTACAATTTCTTTTGTCCTGACTTTCATAGCTCACCTGCTGTCCACTTGTTGTCCTCTATAAAATTGCTTCTTCACAATTTTTGCCACTTTTTGCATTCTGTCTAGTGTTTTGCATTTAGCCCTTTCATTCTTGTTACTATAATTTTAAGATTCCTGAGAACAATTAAGCATCAGTATTTTGTCTTGTCCATCTCTGAAAGGGAAATAACTAATCCCCTCTTTGCTTGCTGAATTTCCCCAACTCAATATATGGGGAATGCCATTTGAATAGCATGTGTATTTCTCATGAACCTCATCAACTGCTAAATCATGAAGGTATATTTCACCACATTAAGACAGAAATGGAAGTAAAGAAAGAAATTATCAGCTCAGAAGAGGATTCGTCTTTGTTAGCAATCTTGGAACTTGTTAACATGTTTTGGGAGAAACAAATCTCAGCTCCTCCTTAAATCATGCATAGAGCTTCCTTCTTGCTCAGTCCCAGGCTTTGGCATTGTCTTTATGGAGGTGTTCGGATCCTCCACGGATCGAGGACGGCTATGTAGTTTCTTATTGAAACAGATAATTCAATAACTGAGACACAGTGTCTGCATTGCCAAAAGTAAATGACATACCGCTACTCAAATAAGCTACTTTCACTTTGGTGGTAACACGTCAGGGCATCAGTAATCACTACCAAGGACTTCTCTTTCCTTCAATAATCACAAGTTTCAAGTAGCAAGTTAGAAAAGTGACAGTCTCTGACCAATTAGAAAGAGAACAACAAAAATCCCACTTGCACAACTAGAAATGCACATTGTTTCAGGTCACATTTCTTTGTGGACCAACTTAAAATGTGTATGGGCACTTTTGTATCATATCGAAGGAGAAATGTTTATAATTGTAATGATGACTTTGTGTTAGACTGTAGTTACATTGAAAAATGCAAATTACACAGTAGTCTCTGTCTTAAGAATGATTGCCTCTGATTTTGCCTTTTTAAATTATGAGAAGTCTTTTTTGGGGGGGGGTTACTCCTCTTTATTGTCATAATAGAAGTTTCAGATTAGCCATGCTATTATTTTACTTTCACAAAGAAAATTTTGCTCAAATTTCTTTCAACTTAAACCTACCTGTAAATATATTAAAATTGCTTACCAACTAACAAAGATCCCACTGATCATTCATTTACTTTTCTGAATACATTTACTCATTTTATCCACCTTTCTGACATTAGTTAAAAGAGAACCTTAAGATTCTTAATGAATGCTCACCAAGTCAGCAAAAGTAAAGTTTCCAATATTAAAACAATTTTAGGTCTTGGCATGGTAGCCTAGCAGCTAAAGTCCTGGGCTTACACACGCTGGAATCCCCTATGTGTGCTGGTTTTAATCCCAGTGGCCCCGCTTCCTCACCCAGCCCCCTACTTGTGGAAAGTAGTAAAGGATGGTCCAAAGCCTTGGAAACCTGCACCCACATGGGAGACCCAGAAGAAGCTCCAGGCTCCTGGCTTCGGGGATGAGCTCCACTCTGGGCGGTGCAGCCACTTGAGGAGCGTATCAGCGGATGGAAGATCTTTCTCTGTCTCTCTTCTCTGTATATCTGACTTTCCAATAAAAATATATAAATCCTTAAAAAAACCTTTTTAGAAAGCATTATAACTTTCTGTTTACCAAAAACATATTTACAGACTGAAGTTCTGCATTGCCATCAGTGCAATTTATAAGAGAAACCTAGGAAGCAAGAAATCATTCATTACTAAATATCTGTGATCACTAAAATAGTAAGAGGTGGCAGTGTCCATATTCAGTAGACATCATATAATAGATTTTGTGGAGATTTATTTTATTTATTTGAAATGCAGAGTGGCAGCAAGAGAAAAAGAAAGAGATCTTCCATTCACTGGTTCACTCTCCCGAAGAGCCACAATGGCTAGAGCTGAGCCAGGCTAACACTCGGAGCCTGGGACTCTATTAGAGTCTCCTACTTGGGTGGTCATGAGCCAGGCGTTTGAGCCATCCTCTGCTACTTTCCCAGGCTCATTAGTGGGAAGTTGCGGACGATGGTGAGCAACCAGTCCCGGAACTGACGCTGTGATGTGGATGCTGGCATGAAAGCCTTGGCTTCAGCTGCTGAGCTACAAATTCGGCCCACAAACTGCGGATTGTGAATTTTGATATTTTCTGGAGGGTAGGGGGTGTGCTATGCAGTATGATACTCTATCTTGATGGGAAGCAGTGAGCTTTAGCTCCCTGTCAGCCACAGGCATGAAGATAAACAACCAATGAACTCCAGGTTGCTAAGCTAGGATGTTTGGCATGTTAAGCATATTAAGTGAAGTTTTGATTTATGGTAGTTTCCAGTTATTATGGGTGCACTGGGAGATAAGATGAAGACTATGTATTCATAGGATATCCCAAGAGATGAGGTGTCAGTAACACAAGTTAGAGCCACTATAGACGTAACAGGTCTTTTTAAAAGTGCTGATGCTTAAAGGCTTGTAATGGAATTGTTTTTCAGTGTAAGAGTTCAGGCTCTGGAGTCAAAACTGAATATGCTTCTTAGTTTTGCTACTTAATTTTACTCAATGAGCTTTTAAAAAATGAATATCACATGGCTTAACATATTAATCTTAAATATGTATTGTAATCATAAATTATTTTCTGAAATTATTTTGGGTTTTTTGGAAATTTTGTGCTAACGGTGCAGCCATTTTGCATAACATTTTCCTTTTTGTATATTTAAGTCATCATATCTTCATTGTGATTCTAAGTGTAATTGGATGGTACTAAATATCATGAGTTTTAATCTTTTAAATACATGTAACAGCTTACATATACACAAATTCTTTACTTCATTAGACTATGGCAAATTTTCCTATAATATCAATTTGTGAACAAAATAATGAAAAATCAAAAAGCAAGACAGTAGTACATTGTACAAGAAAAGATGTATACCCGCACATTTCTGGCTTGTGTTTTTTAGATAAACCTTGTTATTATTTTTGTTTGCCTCTACTCGTTCCTTCATGTGCTGTACTTACTGGCATGATCATTTTCTACATTGTTCAAAGAAAGAAACAGGAATGGTAAGTTGCATCCTACTTGTTTAAAGTAACTTAAAGTATTTTATAAAAATCCCAGGGCTCCTGCAAATTTCTTCATTTAAAAAAAAAATTGTAATGAGGGACTAATTCCTTTGTATGTGCTTGGTAAGTTATGCAGTGAAGCATAAAGCCCTATTAAACTGATGCTTTACTTGAAGCTTTTAGAATATCGTGCTGTTAATAATCATTTGTTCGTTGTAAGCTGAGTTTAACATTTTTTAATGAAAAAGTACTTTTTTCAGAGCATATGGACCTGGCCCTGCGTGGTAGCCTAACTGCTAATTGCCTTGCATGCCCAGGATGTCATTTGGGTCCCCGTTCTAATCTCGGCAGCCCTGCTTCCCATCCAGCCCCCTGCTTGTGATCTGGGAAAACAGTTGACGACTGCCCAAAGCCTTGGGAAACCTAAATCCACATAGGAGACCCAAAAGAGGCTCCTGGCTCCTGGCTTCGGATTGGCTCAACTCCAGCTGTTGTAGCCACTTAGGGAGTAAATCAATTAATGGAAGATCTTTCCCTCTGTCTCTCCTCCTCTCTGTATATCAAACTTTCCAATAAAAATAAATAAATCTTAAAAAGAAGAAAGAAAGTACATGGACCAAGGCAAGTGGTGGAAAGGAATTCTCAAAATGCTGAAAATGGTTGACAGTAAGACCCAAGTTAAGTCTACTGCTGTGAAAGACTGCCCAAACTGGTCGGAGGACTTGCCGTGGAATCCCCATACCGGGTCTACTTAACTGCCACTGACCACAGGGTGGAGGAAGAAAGTATTTATTTCACTGTGCAAATTGAGAATCCAGGCAGCTCTTACTTAATTTGGGGGTTTCCTGAGGGGATAGGGGAAAATTTCTTAAGTACTGAATTTAGCATTAAAGGGGACTATTCTGCTTATGGTTAGTAATAGTTGTGGAATTCTTTCGATTGGTCAACAATACCTTGTTCTTTAAGGCATTTTGATGTTGACAATGTGGCCTTCAGTCAATCTGATGGATAAATGCACTGGTAATTACTTTTTGTTCTGGCTGTTCCTGAAGCGGAAACCCCTTGAGACAAGATTGAACATCAAGATGTTATCTATAAGGAAGCAAGCAACCCCTTAAATCCAGTAATTACGGGCCTTGCATGACTGGTGGCACTTACAGACATTGTAGGGTCTGGTTGAGTACTCCCTTAATTGAGGTAATTTTAGTAGGGTGGTTGATTTTCAATCATGAAAGTAGAACAAGGATACATTAAACTAAGAGAGGAGGCTAGGAGGACATGTGCTTAGGACCAGACAGCATCCAGCATCTGAGTTCACTGTAGAAAGCTTTATTCCCTGAGAAAGTCATGATGAAGTGATCTTATGAGACAGATCATCTTACTTTACAATGTCATTAAATATCCATGCGTTTAACAAATACTTCTTGGGTGCTTCTACATTACTATGCATGATTTTTAACATGGTCAACAGACATCTCTGTGAAAAACAAGTTTCTTGCCTTTGGAGCTGTATCGATAATTATGAATAGAAATGGATAATGAAAAGATAAGAGTAAATAAGCAAACACCCAGCAGTGATAAGAACTACATAGAAACAAGATAGAATGATGTTATTGAAAAGCACTATAGGGATTGTTTCTGAGAAAGTGACATTTCAACTGATATCTGAGTAAAACAGAAAGGTGTAGGTGAAATTTCTGGTGAACAATGCTTCAAACAAGTAAGGGCCATTTGGTTCAAGTGGCCGTATGGGACTGAGCCTGATGAGAAACAAGAAAAAGCCATTGTACCCAGAATAATGTTTAGGAAGTGAGTGGGGGGTGACCAGAACAAGGCTTACAAGGCATGGAAAGGCATTTGGGTTTTTATGACATCAATCCATGGAAATGTGTCAAAAAGCGCCAAGTGTCTGGTATGCTTAAAGAAGCTATTTCCCTTTAGAACATATGGAAGATGTCTTAGAAGTCAAGAATGATAGGAAGGAGAGTTTTAAAAAAACACTAGAGTAGTCAAGAATAGAGTTGACTGTAATCTGAAGTTGAACAACAAACATGAAAAAATGGGAATGTATTTAGGATGACAAGATTTGCTGTTCAGTCAGATGTGGAAAAAACAAAAGGGCAGAATTATCCTGACAGTTGTCATCTTTTTAGCATTACACAAAGATGAGAAACATTTTTACAAATACAGGAAAGGCTAGGAGAAGAATAGGCTTTGGAAGGAGGATCAAGAGTTCTGTTTTTGATATATTATTTTTGACAATCTCCTTTAATACAAGAGAATATGTTAAACATATATGTGACAGCAATTTACAGGGCAATCAAACAGAGGAATAAATTTGAGAATAAGGTGGGTATGTTAACCAAGGGTACACATAAAATTTATTACTTTTATGATTTTAGAGTAAAAATAATATATAGATTCTGTAAGTAGAGTGTTTTTTGCTGATCTTATCGAATGGCAATTTCTACACACTGCCACTAGGGAGAGTGTTTGGACTATATTCTTCTAAGAGATATCGGGGTGAGAAGACATCAGACCTTAACGAGCCAATCTCTCCCACTCAGGCAATAGACATAAATGTGCTTTGTTTTCTTCAAATTTAAGATTAGATCTTCCAAAATAAATCTGCATTTTGTGCTTGTGTCAAGTCATCACCTTTTCAGAAACAAATAGAATGTTTGTCTAACTATGTTAACCAATCTCCATGAGCTAGTGATTTCAAGCGAAGTTTTACTAGTATTGATGTGTTTGAATGTTTCTGTTGTTTCTCCGATTCAGGACCTCTGTCAGAAACACCAATCGAATTGCTGCTTTGATTTCTATTTTTTCTGATTACTATTAATAAGTATGAAAAATAGTGTGGAGGCTCTTCAAGAAAGTAAAGATGGAGGTGCTATGTATGGGGATTTCAAAAAAATAGGAAATCACTAGGTTAAAGTGATCATTGCGTTTCCCTGTTTCTCGCAGCGCCATTCAGGACAGGCAGCACAAGGAGAAAACCTACGCGCCCGTCGGCGGAGTGAATGAATAAGGAATATATACATACCGGAATACTGCTCCAGCGTAGAACAAAGTGAGCTCTTGTCATTTTCAATCACACGGATGAATCAAGAGAAAATATTGTAAAGTGAAAAGAAATCGATGCAGAAAGTACAAATACTGAATGATTATGCATATGTAGAGTCGATCATAAAGGAAAAGAATAGAATAGGTGTTACAGAAGGTTGAAAGGAAAATCACAGGTAAATAAGGGGAATAAATTCCAGTAGTCTGTCATCCAGAGGAATGACTGTTGTTAGAATAATATATTGTGTATTTCAAATTAGCTGGAAGACAGGATTTTGAATGTCTCACTGAAACAAAGAAATGTTTGAAGGAATAGATATGCTAATTAGTAACCTAATTTTATCATTAAACCACATGTAAATGTATCAAATATTATATTCTACATAAATATGTGCAATGATGTGTGAATTAATTTTTAAAATAAGATTTATACTATTCTTGTATTTCTTCCACATTCATATCCCCATTTGTGTATACCTTCATGATTCTCATGTGTTTAAAGGAAATTTTCCATGTTCCAGGTTTTTTATAAACTAGAAATTGATTTCTTCTCCTCATTTTCTATCACTTTCATATTTCCTAACCTCATCAATAAGGAAATGAATCTTCAATTCTCTATAATTTTAAAATACATTCCTTTTTTAACCCAATGGCTTGTATTTTGTTTTTTGTTTTGTTATAAAGATATCTTCTTACTTATTTGTTTCATATTTTTATCTATTTCATACTCAGATGTTTAAACTCAAATGTGGAATTAAGGTTTTATGCTTTTCTTTTTTCATCATCTAATAATCCTAATTTCTTAACATCAGCTACTCTAATCTACCCTTTTCTCATCAATAAGCTCTATTTTCAGCTCTCTTATATAGAGCATTTATTCTGTTGCTTAATTTTAGTTTCCTCATAATTACATATGGTTTTTATTACCATGGACTTTCTGTTTAGCATTAACATGTTTCAGGGAATGGTTTCTCTTTCTTATCTTCTTAATTAATATATATGTCTATTTATTCTATTATATAGATTCAAATAGTATATACATTTCAAGTATATATTCTATAGAAACTCTTCACACAAAATCCATCTAGACTGCATATACAGACACATTATGGAGTCAACTTATTTATTCTTTCTTATTTATTTGTGCTTTTAATTTTGTCAAATCTTTTCATTTTATTGAGTATCTCCTTAATGTTTGCTTCTTTTGCTCAACATTGGTAGATGAGAATGACAGTTCAGCGTTCTTATTCATGTGCTTGCATTTAAACTTGAAACGCAGAGACAAAGAGAGAGAAGTGCACCTGTGGACCAATTCACTCCCCAGATGCCTGGAATTGCTGTACGCTAGGTGGAAGTCAGCTAGCCCCAAATTCAATCCTAATGTTCCAGGATTGACTCAAACTCAATGGAATGCAGGTGTCCTAAATGGCATTTTTCTTTTACTTCCTCTTCTTTCTCCTCCTTATTTTAGATTTACCTCTTTGAAAGGCACAGCAGTGAATATAGGGGAAGGCACACACACATCCACACAAAGAGAGACAAAGAGAGAGAGATGGAGATCAATCCCAAATTTACTCATTAATAAAATCAAATGCTACAATGGCCAGGTCTGGGCTGGGCTAAGCTCAGAAGCCAGGAGTATCATTCCGGTTTTCTCCCACACTGGTAGCAGGGTTCCGAGTACTCCGACTCTCTACTGCTGCTTTCTCAAGCATGTTAGCGGCAAGCTGAATTGGAAGCAGAGCAGCTGGGACTTGAACTGACTCTCCAACATGGGATGCTGGCTTTAACCTGTTACACCATAACAGTACTCTCCGCTACCCCACACGAGTGGACTCTGAACTGCTGCACCAAATGCTTGCCTCAGGTCGATGTATTAACTCAGAGGTTGTGCTTCTTTAATTTTGTCCAGTAATTTTATGTATTACTTTTTTTTTCTGTGTCAAAGCATTATAAATTATGTAAACAAGTTTTTCTTTTGAAAAGCATTTTCAAAGCAGTGATTACACTTCGTGACATCACCTTCCCTTTTTTGTTTATTCTTCTGTGTGCGAAGTCAGTATCTTTTGTGTTTACAGCCTATTCATATGTTGAAATTACTGATATCATCGGGCTTTTTTCCCATTTTATTTTCCACTTGTATTTCATTTTAGTTTATTTTCCCCTATCCTATCTCTTATTTGGCTAGATATTATTTTCTAATGTAAGTAGGCCTACTTTATGATTATCTTGGGGTGTAGTCTCATAACTTACCAAGTAGGCTGGAGTCATAATCCAAAACCATCGATCACAGCCAAACACTGTGACAGTTCAGTTGATAGGCTAACCACCTACCCTAGAACAGTTTAATTATGCTAGTACTGAGGCACATTTTTGGGGACTTTGTTTTTTCGGCAACAGTACATTTTACTAAGTCATTTATTCTTCCTGTGTATCTTGTAGCCTCTTCCTGGATCCATTTTTACCTCTTACTGGAATCCTTTTGTTGAAGATTTGGAAGACGTGCTTTGATGTAATATTCTGAGGTGTATGTGTTTCACAATGTTTTTCTCACCCTTTAACTTTATAACATTTGGTTTATAAAAGCTAGGACCAGTACATTAAATGTGTAAATTAAAGCCTTGCAGTATAAGGCTTTCATGCCTATCACAAGAGAATAGAGAAGGGTAGCAAAATTGCCCTCATAGAATACTTTGCATATACTTTAGAAAACCATGTATAAGGATATTTATAGCACCACTATTTAAAATAACTTCAATTGGGGAAGCAACTATGGACTCATTAGCAGTGGAACAGAGTAACTGTGAAATATGGTTTTTAGAATGGGATACTATGGTAGCAGTAAGAATGAATGAACAACTATATGCAATAACACAGATGATTTTTTAACAGCTACAAATGAGTGAAAGAATCCAGAGGAAGGAACGAAGACAAATTCTATGGTTTCATTTATATAACTGTGTATGTGTTTGTGTGTAAAAAGCCCTAATCAAACAACTAGTATCCAATGGTTATTGAGCAGAAAACCACCTGAGAAGGTGGTTGAATTAAGGGATAGGAGGTATATAGCAGTTAAAAAGTCAAATGTATCACTCATAGACCAGACAAATATACCAGCATATTAAAAATAGACTAGTGTGACAATTTTTGTAAAAGACAAATGAAATTTAAAGGTTTTTTTCTTTGACACTTGAAAATCCTGGTTGCATTCTTGTTCTCCCAAACAATGCCTTTTGATATTTTGAAATTGCTTACCTGAAAGGCAGAGTTGCAGGAAAGAAGGCAAGGCAGAGATCTGTGATCTACTGGCCACAACCCATAGGGCTGTAACAGCAGGTCTGCACCAGGTTGAGGCCAGGAACCGAAAATTCCATCTCGTTCTTGCACATGGAAGGCAGGGATCCAAATACTTGGGCCACACCCTCCCAGGTACATTGACAGGAAACTGGAGAGAAAAGCTTAGCTAGAACTCAAACTGCCATTCCAATATAAGATGCAGGTAACCCTTGTGATGCCTTGATCTGCTATGCCAGGATGCTTGCGCATCTTGATTTTCTTAATCCTATCGTTTTAATTTATCTGTTATATATCTACAGATTGGCTTCCGGTAATGGATCCCTGGAATTCAGTGAGTCCTTTAGTCCTTTTAATATGGATTTTTAAAGTTTCAGTTTTGTTATAAAAATTAGTCATTGCTTTATTTAAAGCCTCACATTTTCCCTCTCTTTGTAAGACTCCTGTTACATGAATAGTTTCTTTCTGTTGTGTATGAAAGAGAGGGAGAGAGAAAGAAGGAACTCTGGGTTCTGTCCTTATGCTAAACGCTATTCCAGCACTTTGCAAGAGAGTCTTGGCAATGGAATGTCTTTATTTTACTTTTAAAGGTCATTAAAAAAAAAAAATCCTCCAGCTGGCGTGGTAGTTCCTTAGGGTAATCCTCCGCCTTGCAGTGCCAGCATCTTATATATCCTGGCTGCTCCACATCCTAACTCCTTACTTACGGCCTGGGAAAGCAGTGAACGATGGCTCAAAACTCTTGGCCCCCTGCACCTACGTGGGAGATCCGGAAGAAGCTCTAGGCTGCTGGCTTCATCCTGACCCAGCCCTGGCTGTTGTGGCCTTCTGGGGACGGAGCTAGCAGATGGAAGATCTCTGTCTCATTCTCTCTGCACATCTGCCTTTCTTCGTCTTGTTCTTCTTGTTCTTCTTGTTCTTCTTGCTCTTCTTCTTCTTCAATGTTAAAAAAAAAAAAGAAGAAGAAGAAGAAGAAAGATCCTCAGCTTAATGCAAGTGGAAGAAAACTCACCAGCAAGGAAAATGCTAATCATGTCATGAACGGAGAAATCACAAAACAGAACCGATACAAAATTGGTAGCTTGGAAAAGAATAACGTATGTTTGCTTTCAAAGCATTGTTGAACCACACGTTTCGCCCCACCTCCCACCCATTTCCATTCTCTGTAACTACAGGTTCACAGAAAATGGAAAAAGTGATTTTTTTCCCCCATCTGCCACCTCCGAAAACAAAAATTTTAACAGCAAAGCAGGATAAATGTAAATTTCATCTGATGTGGACTTCCCTTTTAACTGGTTGGAGACGGGTGGTGGGTGGGGCTGGGAATCGGGAGAAGCAGCAGAGGGCAGGCAGGCGCAGTCTGCGGTGGGGGGCAGCCAGAGCAGGTTAGTGCTGGTGCATCGCAGCTGTAAGCTCACACTCCGGTGCTCAACAGCTCACCCAGGCTTCCTAGTTTCGTCCAGCGGCCTGAAGGGAGGATGGAGAGGCTGGTGAGCTGGGCCAGGGCCTGGGAAAGAGGGAGCGGGGTGGACGCGGTCCAGCACCCCGGCGGCCTGGGGAGGGGGGCTGCAGCGGGCGCCGCGCGCAGAGCTGAGGTTCGCTCCAGTCTATTCCCATGTTTGGTTTAACTGATGCCTTTCTGAAAACCGCTGGCAAGCTGGTCTTGCTTCCAAAGCTGTGGCGCACAGACTATTCATG